GGCCCCCAGACAGGGTCAACCCACCACACACTGCTTGCTCCAAGAAGTGACACCTGAGGAGCTCGTCCAAAGGGGTCTGCAACATTCCCGTCATCTGCCAGACGAACTCCTGTGGAGTCTGCACGTGCCGTTGCGCACCACAGACTTATTTTGCAGGAAGAATTTGAAGAGTACCCTCATCTGGTCCTTTTCTAAGCAGGGCAGAGGGTAAAGATTTAACTACTGTGTGTTGGAAATGGGGAAGCTTTGGCAAAGTTTCAGGAGGGGCTTTTTCAGGGTGGGGTTTTTTTTAGTAAATGCAGTTTCTGTTCTTAAGAATTAGAGAGCTGTTCAGTCTCTGGAGCCCTGGGAAAATGCTGACAGAGCGCATCAGCATCACCTTATTGGTAGTGGTGGTAGCTCTTCTGCATTTTGTTTTTCCCACTAGAGATGTCACATCTAGCGGCAAGACACCCTCTGAGCCCAGCAATACTGGTGGAGTTGCCAGGGTCAGCAGAGGACCGGGCAGTCTCAAGCTCCTGCCACCCAAATGCCAAGACATGAGGTTTGACTGTTAACTCCTAAACCATAAGGGTTTCCAGGCTGGAAACAGCTGAGCTTTAAAGGGCAGATCCACAGACAGCAGGAACTTGTACACCGATTTAGGAGATTTCCCTTCTCTTCCTTAATTCTTCTAAAACTCGTGTCTCCCTCCCCGGACAGAGCCACCCAGTCCTTTAAGGGCACCTTGGCCACCCGCAGCAGCGTGCAGTCGCTGCTCAGATCCACGTCATTCATGCAGGCACAGCTTGCGGCATCTCCGCTGCTCCATTACAGCACCTGGAGCCCCATGAAAAGGCCTCGGCTATGGGGGAGTTACTGGAATTGCCACACAGCAGCAAAAAGTCTTTTTTTTTTTTTTTTTCCCAGAGCAAAGCTGCTGCTTGGGAAAACGACACCCTAGCAATTTCATGTAAAAGCGGGGATACTGAGAAGCGGTGACGTTGAGTCCTACCAGTACCAGGCAGTCCGTCCTGATGCCCACTCAGCTTCAGGACCTCTATCTACAGCGAGAGGCTGTCAAGCACGCCAGGCATTGCATGCATTTCTGATAACAAGCCTGTACCACTTAGGCTGACCTCCGAGCACACGGGTCCGGGATTTGTTTGTTGAATTTTGGTATGTGGTTTGTTGGTTTATTTAAGTCAGAGCCAGCTCTTTGAGGAATGGGATGGGAAATGAGAGGGGGAGGAAGGAAGTCACTAGTAAAATCATGCAAGTCAGAAGAAGAAAGAATTTGTAGAGGAAAAAAAGTATCCTTGACTTTAAGAAGTGAAGCTTGTCTCTGCACCACGCAGACACACACATGGATATGTTATGACAGACATTACAGAAATACAGTATATTAAAAGCAGGAATTAAGACAGTTATTCAAAAGCTAGAGCTGTGCTAAGTGTAAGAGAAGATCACAGGTGAAAAAGTCAGTTTAATATTCCAGACAGCTTTCAGACCAAGAAACACTCAGCCACGTACATACAGCATGCCTGCAAGCAAGGGTGCCCAGCAGAAGACCGCATCTGCACCCAAATGGGCAACACCTGTGCTAGCCAAGCAGGGAAGCTGCCTGGCATCCCACGATCTCTGCTGCTTCCCAGTGCAATCGCAGCCGTGGCCGAGCTGAAAAAGCAGGGAAGGAGGAACACACCCCAAAATTTCAGCATGGGAAAACAGAGTACCAGCTTAAGAAGCTCCAGCAAAAAGACATCCTAAGACAGACCTCTGATATTTCAGGCTGGGTATTGCAGGCTAACAAAATTATAAGTAAGTAGAAACAGGATCCTTTGCAATAGCACGTTAGCCAGCTTTAAAAACAGATGCATTACAGCTCTACCCAGGTCAGTACTAAATATCAAAACCAAGAGACTTTTGTCATCCTGTGATTTGTCAGAAGCGGCATTTCCGAATCATCTCCAGCCGCAAATAAAGACAGGGAGGCGAAAACAAACAAACCGAAAAGTCCTTGATAACAACAGAGTCTTCTCCATTTCCCCCTGAATTTCAATCTTGATCCACCTCTTTCCCTCCCTCCAGGTCTCACCTTGCCATGGCTTCTCTCCACCTTTCGGAAACACTTGTTCAAGGAGAGGTTGTGTCGGACTGAGTTCTTCCAGCCAGTGGGTGCCGTGGCGAAGTAGGGGAAGCGCTCCAGGATCCAGCTGTAGATTTCTTTGACTGGCAAGCTCTTGTTGGGGGAATGCTCGATCGCCATGTAAATGAGAAGGCTGAAAGAGTAAGGGGGTTTGGAAGTGGAGGATTTTTTTTCGGGGTTCTGGTAGCAGGACGGCGAGAAAGATGGCACGCTGTCGCCCTCAATGTCATACAAGGGGCTAACGATTGGAAGACCCTCACTTCCGAGGCTGAAGTTTGTTAGAAGGTTAGTACTTTCATGCAGCCAGTTCAAATTCGTGAGCTCGTCATCTGCTGAATCTCTGTCCACCACAGTGGCCTTTGGCCTGCCGGCATCGCCTGCATCAGGCAAGCTTCCCATCCCGTGACACTGCCGTAATCCTGCAGCTTTTTCTGCTCCTGGCGTTTCAGCTTTCTTATCCGGCGTCATTCCAGTGACTGGACCCATTTAGCTTTATTGGTCTGCAACAAAGCACATCATCAGAAATCAATGCAAACCTTCAAAATCACGTTCAGTGGCAGCCCACCAAACCCAAACACAGGGCTGTACCATCCCCACGCTGTGCCACAATACTGTCATCACCGATGAGAGCCAGGGTCCAACAGGAGCCCCCAGTAATCTCATGAGCATGTGTTAACTCCCCCCAGTTTATTATCAGCACTTATGGTAAGCACTTGGAAACTGCTATATCTATCCTGAAACGCCACTCTGGACACACAAATAATGGCTATTTCGATGTCAACGTCTGAAATCTGAAAAAGACCTTAAGAGGCAGGATGTAATCCATTCAGGTCTCACATTAACTCTTCAGTTATACTCATTATATTGTAAATTGACCCTATTTAGAAGCATTTGACTTTGATGCCCAAAGACTAAAAAAATAAGTTGCAAAACTCAAATCAGCTTAAAGTGAAGTTGTGGTCTCAGTGCAAATGAAGTCTTTACAACCCCCAACAAGTCACCAAGTACTGCCTCTGTTTCCACCGGGGAAAGGTCTGGCCAGCCCATCAAGTCAGCTAGATCCTGCAGACCTACCCAGGTCAGAAAGACCTTCTCTCCCCTCCCGCCAGGGCTTGCTGTTCTAACCCCCCCCGCAGAGCAGAGGGTAGGCAGGACCAGCTCTCAACGGGAAGGGACCATCTGCTGGGGTGGCAGCTCAGACCTGTTGCAGCATTAATGGCTGACCACTTGCTTTGAACTTTTCCATAAATTAAAAAAAAAAAAAATATAAAATTATATCTATTAAAAACTGCCACCCAGAATGCACGGTCTAACAGGCCACCCATGCTTTCAAGGCATTACACTCACAAAAAGCATCTTCTTGCTCACAGAGTTTTAAAACGGGTCACCTAGCAAACTATGGCATGCTACCAGCTGTTTCCTCTGCTGGTGTGACCACGTTACAGCTTCACAGCACCTACAGCTTTGGCCAACATAACTGTGCCACAAGTACAGGCCAACAAAACCAGTCCAAAGATGTGGTCTGCATGTATGTACATCTATCTATACAGGGGCTATACTGTAAGGGACTCTGCCCATGGATGCAGTTTACCAGCAAAGCTGAACTTCGTATTAACTGTAAAAACACCACCAACCCAAAAAAATCCCCAAATGATAACAAACAAACAAAAAACCCAGTTCCCTGTTCCAGTACATGTGCTATCGCTCTAGTTTCATGCTCCAGCTCCTACTGCAAGAGCTCAATTGCAAGACTAGGACAGTTTCCATATCACATCTCACCAGACAGCTCTATGCAGTTACTGGGTATTTCCTTACAACAGTCTTTAGTAAACACATGGCTTCATGCACTTCCATCTTCTCCTACAAAGCAGAGGCAAGGAGTTGGCCAGCTCATGTACGCAGTCTGGCTGTCCCACCTACAGAACCACAGCGCCGACAGCCTCACCGTGTCCGTGCAATGACACTGCCCAGCCTCCCAGGAGAGGTATTTGCCCGGCCTCCTTATTTTGGAGGAGGGGAGCGACATGCGCATGATGTGGTGACACAGAAAGGCAACAGGATACATCCATTTTATACTCCCCACCAGGAGCCAGAGCCCTGTCAGCCCCTGCCTGTGGGGTGCAGAATTTGTGCCTCCCCCAGAAAACGCACCGGGTTTTCCACAAGCAATTTCTTCTCCTGTTTTCATCTGCTCATACGCTTTCGCACCAGCTATTGCAAAGCTGTTTTGACAGTAACACCTGCACCTATGCTTATCAGTAGCAGTGCTGGAAACCATCCCCAAATTTTCTATTTAAGTGCAGGGACGGCTGTGATTAACTACCAGCTCAGTCATTAAAAAAAAAAAAAAAAAAATTAAAGTGAACTGCTCAAATAGCTGGTCAAAAATAGCTTTGCTCTCCCTACAATTTACTTCTCCCCCAAGCCATCAGAGCAGATTTATATTGGCAGTCAGTGACTGCTGGCTTTAAACACAGCAATATATACATATGCTTATGTCACTTTCTCAATCCTTTCTTAAATTAAAAAAAAAACAAACAAAGAGCTAGTGATAAAATTCACACAGTGAGACAAACCTCAAGTCTGCTGCAATGTGAGTTGCACCGTTTTCCTTTTAACAAGTAACTTTACCTCCTTGTTCAGCACCTCTTTAGCCAGCTATGTACTAGCTTACACCTCTCAGCTGTGTATTAGTAATTTTAGCACTCGGTTTATGTTGCATGAAATATCCCTTTGCAAATCTTCAGTCAGCACAGTAGATCAAGAATATGCACACGTATACACACACGTGCAAGTTATATGTCACTATATTTATTCCTTTGGTGAAATGGGGCAATAAAGTTTGTTTTACAACACAAAACAGTCTTTTCACACTCACACTCACAGTCTTTTCAAAAATATAGAGGAAGAAGAACAGATTAACTTATTAAACTGGCACTTAAAATCAGGTGGGCTTTGTGGTGTCAATGAGCTATTTGTTTGCATGCTATTATGTGTTAGCAGAGAATCATTAAAATAATTAATGTCCTACTTTAAAAAAAAATTACTTGCAAGCAATATACTTACAGTAAATAATATAGGCTAGTGCCATATTTCTCTTACTACACGCATTACAAAAACTCATGTCTCATATTACCTTCTTAGTGCCTAGTTCACCCATCTTCTATGTGAACACATCAGCAGAAATTAAAATATTTTTTCTAGAAAGCCATAAAGGCCATTATTAGACTATCATCATCTAATAAATAAGAAAAAAAAAATCACAGCTCCATAACTACTGCAGTTTTCAAAGGGTGTTCTGTTCTCCAGTGGTCTGCACCGAATGCTGCATTGAGGATAATTTAAATACAGAAACAGCAGAGCATGCAACAAGAAGAGTTATTTTAATGAAGTAATACTTAACTCCATTGTGATGGCAGTAGTGAGATCGGTAACATCGCGTACCACCAACTGATAATTTTGGTGATAGCCAGTGTTCCTAGACAGCATCACGCCAGCCCCAAAGACATGACGTAATGTGCTTTATGCCACGCTAACCTACCCTTGCTTTGCTTGATCCCAAAATACTGTAACCTCTAATTCTGCCCGGTTTACTCTGGCCTGCTGCTGCATCAGTCTGAAGAAGAAACCAACATTGGCAGCCTTCCTACTGCAGAGGACTGCAAAGCCATCAAAAGCTCGCCCTTCCCTTAGACAACTCCAAGGGGTACCCCACAGATGGGCTCATTAACATACATGTTAATGTTTGTCCCACCTCTCAAGCACCCAAGGACCATGTGGACCATAGGACCTCCTCATCTCTTACGCACCCAAGGGCCATGCGGACCATAGGACCTCCTCATCTCTCAAGCACCCAAGGGCCATGAGGACCATAGGACCATCTACAACTATTCAGCTGAGACAGCACTGCTTTCTGCCTGTAGCAGCCCGGTGGGGAGCCTCAGCAGTGCCACTGGAGCGTATCTGAAGACACACAAGTGGTCAGCTTGCGTGGTCTCTAAAGCCCCTCTTCATTCCCGCAGACCCTTAATGACATCCAAAATTCAAAATTTCTTTTTCTCCATGTGTGCTCTGCTTGGCCATAAGCAGATGGGACTGTGAAAGCACAGCTTCCAAGCTGCTGTTTTCAAGATTACCACTTCCAATATTTGGGGTTTAATATTTTATATATAAGGGTCATGCGATTCACCCAAAGTTGTCTTTGTTGGAAGCTAGCAGGGTTTTGTGGAGTCAGTGGGAATGCCACAGTAAAAGCAAGGAAAGCAGACCGCGAGAAGAGTACGGAAGAAGCTCTCCAATGCAGAAGTCATGATAAAACCATATAGGCTTGGAATCTCAGATTTTTTCCTAATATCACCTGGTAGAAAGGCTGATGCAAACAAGGTTAGAGGTAGGCACTAGGACTTGCTCTCCACAGCGCTCCCAACCAAGGTGAATTAGCAGCACTGATGTGAAACAGGGAGGGAGGGGAGAGGGAAACCTAGCAGAAAGGCGAGGTTAAGAGCACACATGAGCGTTGCAAGGCCACTCAGTGAAATTTATCTTCCACTCCTTTATTCCCTTACTGCCACCCTTCCCACCCCTTCAGCTACTCCAGGGCCTTGCAAGAAAACCACGTCCAAATGACATGCACCTGCTCAGCTGCTGAGACACACTCCCTGTCCCTCTCCTCCGGCTCTCCCTGAGCCAGTTCTTTCTGAAGGAGGATGGCAGATGGCAACCATTTAACCAACCTCTCCGGCTGGCGCGTTGACTGCCCAGACACTCGCTGCAATTCTCACGGGGGCAGCCCCAGCCCCGCAAGCAGAGCCGGAAGGCAACCATGAAAATGCAGAAATAACATGCTTTAAGCGTACCTCTGAAAAACGTGCAACAGTTTATGCTCTGTCCCATGTGCTTTGCCCTACCAATCTGTATAGAGTAACACAGCACGCTGCTATTGATTAGAATTAACACTTGCAACTGAAAGCTGAAGTATTCAAAGCCTAAGGGCATCATGCACCCCACTCCTAAGGAATTGAAGCACCCATCTCCTGTAAGCACCTTCAAAACAAAAGCCAACCAAAACATCTACTCAAATACAAAGTACTGCAGCAGTTATTTTGCATGGTAATTACAGACAGAGGACTATGATTCTAGGGTAAGAAGATTAAAAAACTGCAAAGTCAACAGAGGTTGCTTAGATAAAAGTTAGGGCACATCAGAAATGAGGCGAGACGACCTTCTTTCCAGCAGTCTTGTAATTTTTGGCATCACCCAAGAGCACAAGTAAAAGCCAGGAGAGGACCTCCCTGCTGATGAACGCAGAGCCAGCACACGAAGCCCAGTGAAGTCCTGCTCTTCCAGGCCGCTCACCACCCAAACAGCACAGCCTGGGTCCAAAGGGGCTGAGTGAAGGCTGCAGGCATATTCAGGTAGCAGTCAGGTTCAGAGAAGCCCTAACAGACCAGAGGAGAATATTCAGTGTCACAAGACACTATTTTTCCAACCTTCTT